GATCCTTTAACCAGCAGGCACACCTTACTCGACATCACAGAATTCATTCTGGAGAGAAGCCTTACAAATGTCAAGAATGTGGCAAGGCCTTTAAAGAGCGCTCATACCTTGATCTACATCACAGAATTCATACTGGAGAGAAGCCTTACAAATGTCAAGAATGTGACAAGGCCTTTTACCAGAGTTCATTGCTTAGTGCACATCACCGAATTCATACTGGAGAGAAACCTTACAAATGTAAGGAATGTGGCAAGGCCTTTAACAAGTGCTCACGACTTACTCGACATCACAGAGTTCATACCGGAGAGAAACCTTACAAATGTCAAGAATGTCACAAGGCCTTTAAGTGTCACTCAACCCTTAGTAATCATCTCAGATTTCATACTGGAGAGAGACCTTACAAATGTCAAGAATGTGGCAAGGCCTTTAATGATCGCTCACGCCTTGATCAACATCACAGACTTCATACTGGAGAGAAGAAACTTTACAAGTGTCAAGAATGTGACAAGGCCTTTTCCCATAGCTCATTGCTTAGTAAACATCACCGAATTCATACTGGAGAGAAACCTTACAAATGTAAGGAATGCAGCAAGGCCTTTAAACAGCGCTCACATCTTACTCGACATCACAGAGTTCATACTGGAGAGAGACCTTACAAATGTCAAGAATGTGACAAGGCCTTTAAGGGTCACTCAACCCTTAGTAATCATCTCAGATTTCATACTGGAGAGAAACCTTACAAATGTCAAGAATGTGGCAAGGCCTTTCACCGGAGCTCATTGCTTACTGCGCATCACAGAATTCATACTGGAGAGAAACCTTACAAATGTAAGGAATGTGGTAAGGCCTTTAGCCGAACTTCAGCCCTTACTCAACATCACCGAATTCATACTGGAGAGAAGCCTTACCAATGTCAAGAATGCGGCAAAGCCTTTAGCCGGCCTTCACAACTTACTCAACATCACCGAATTCATACTGGAGAGAGACCTTACCAATGTCAAGAGTGTGGCAAGACCTTTAGCTGGCCTTTTGACCTTACTTGGCATCACCGAATTCATACTGGAGATCAACCTTACCAATGCCAAGAATGTGGCAAAGCCTTTAACAAGCGCTCACACCTTGATCAGCATCACAGAATTCATACTGGAGAGAAACCTTATAAATGTAAGGAATGTGGCAAGGCCTTTTCATTGCACTCAAACCTTCTTAAGCATCACAGAATTCATACTGGAGAGAAACCTTACAAATGCGAAGAATGTGGTAAGGCCTTTTACCGGCGCTCACACCTTACTAACCATCATAGAAGTCATACTGGCAAGAAAGTTTAAAAATGTAAAGACTAGGAGTAAGGACTGTAAAACCCTTACATCACAGACCTTTCATCCAATGTAACTGGAGAATAACTATACACATCTAAAGAAGTCCACCCTCTCTCTCTCCTGAAACTCACAACATCGTAGTTATCATATGGGAGCAACATCATAAAATGTGATGAATGTGGTGAAACCTTTCACTGGAATTCAGTCTATACTCAGTGTCCCAATATGCACACTAGGTTCAAACCCTAGAAACATGATGACTGCAGAAAGACCCTCATTTTAATATACACGTTTGCAAACAAAGCGCTAAAGAAGGTAAATTGAATCATACAAATAATTAGAAAACTCTCTGAACATCTAATGTCAAAAAATGTCACAGATAGCAAGTAAAAGGAGTGTATCAGTCCCTCTGTTCAGACAGTACTCGTTAGTCCAAGGAAAAAGATCAAGTTAAACACTTGGGAAGTGCATATGCTGTTACGTCGCAAGATTCAGTGGTGGAGTTTTTACAAGGGTACAATTAGTTTCGATGTGCTTTTTGTTATATTGAGCCTTTTTGAGGTTTGTGACCAGTAAATATTAATGTACTTTATTCTCAAATCACTTCTGGAGATTGACTTACTTGTACTGGGTGTATGAATCCGTGAGCCTGATTTTTGCTCCGTCAACGGCATTCGATGCCCTGCTGCACTCGGGGGGATTCTCACATCCCAGATTTTCCTTGGAAGATGAGAACTGTGTAATACACAACATGAACGAAGAAAATCTAAATGGAGACACTGCTTAGGGTTATAGCATTGATGTAAGTTGCCATGAAATAGGTGTTCAGAACAATATTTTTCTCCATTTACTAAAACTAAAGAACTTCCTGAATATTAGACATACAAGGTTTTCCTGATTGTTCTTTAAGGAAAAAAAGGTGGCACACCAGTTAACTACTGATGTGTCTTCGTAATAGCGATCTTTAAAGAATAGAAGTGAATGCGTTTGAAACGAAGAAATCCTCCCCGATAACAGAAAGAGGTTCTCTAACTCTTCCCTACCATGCCATATAGCTGGACATACACATCTGTCACGACTGTCAGTAGCACTGGAACTTAGGGGGGTCACATCCACATTGTGATAGAAGCTATGGGGTTTAACGCTTGTATTCCGTATTTTGAACAAGTGTAACAGTGGATTTGAAATGCATAACATAGTCTATGTGTGAGCTTAATGTACTTCAATTAATCAAACATAATGGTTTTTAATATGTTAACATGAGTTTATGATGAGTAGTGTGTTATCCTCCCACCAAGGTGAACCTATCTCATTTTTTTTTTTTTTTTTTTAAGATTTTATTTGACAGGGAGGGAACACAAGTAGGGGAAGAGGGAGAGGGAGAAGGAGGCTCCCCGCTGAGCAGGGAGCCTGATGCAGGGCTTGATCCTAGGATAGGGACCATGACCTGAGCTGAAGGCAGGTGCTTAATGACTGAACCACCTGAGTGGCCCCTATCTCATTTTACTGAAAGTTGTAGGCAACTGGTGTTATCTGTCACCTATTTGGTAATGGAAAGGAATAATATTCCTATGAATCCATTCCCTCAGTGACCTTAAGGTTGAAATGCTGGGTGATTTCCCTGCCTAGTTTATCTAATGTAGCATTTTCTCCTCCTTGTGCTGACTTGTGCTGCTTCAGGATTCTGAGTTATGGGTCGCTGGAAGTTTGGCTCTAGATAAAAGAAAGCTTCTTCCTTGTAAATCACTAGGACATTTGTGAACTGAGGAATACTCAGGTCTTGCAGGATTGTGATCTCTGCAAGGTAACTATTTGTTTCTCCTTTAGGGCAGCCAGGAGTGCCTGAGGAATGTCCCATATATCCCATGGTGGGTGGGGGTTCATGGGGTGTCAGCTTCTGCTTCGTCCTCAGCTTGCCTTCTGTTCTCTCATCACCTAGACAACACTCTGTAGAGTCACAAGCTAATGTAACTTGAGACATGATGATCAGATCCACCTCTGTGGGCAATCCTCTGTCCCTTTTCCCAAGCATTTCCCATCCTGTGTTCTCCTAGAGAAGATGCCCACAGAACTTACTTAAGCTGGCTTTAGTTTGAATGGCCAAATGTGGACTTGAACTGGGACTCTCAAGCACTCCACCATGACCCATAATAAAGGTATGTTCTCCGTTTATTGATGGGAGCGTTGATTTGAATGACATGTGCCCATGTGACCATGCTGCATAGGTAATAGATACCCCAGAAGTAGGAGAAACTTCCCAAATGGAGGGACACTGTAGCCCAGGTCACATATAAAAAATACATAAAATGAAAAAATGAACATGTAGAGTACAAATGTCTCTGTTGGGGTCCGTTATCAAAGGAGCGAGACTGAGACAAAGTGAAAGTTATACAAAGCCTTATTCTATGCCAAGCATTAGAAGTTAGACTGACCCAGCCAGGGGACGAGACTGAGACAAAGTGAAAGTTATGTGAAGCTTTATTCTATGCCAAGCATTAGAAGTCAGACTGATAGGCCAGGGCCGCCTCCGAAGAGAGCGACCCCCTCCCGATCTCACAGGCTGGTTTTATAGGGCATAACCGCAGACCCAAGGTATGTGGCTTCTATTGTTAAGGCATTTACTCCCGGAATCGATACCCAGAACCATACGAGGAACTACTGGGGCATTTATTTCCGGAATGAAGTCCGTGGGTGTAAAGAACAATATGGCTACCTGGGCAATATGGAGTTGCTCTGGCTAAGCAGGCCCTAATAGTTAAACAGGTTTTAACATTAAATTGGCGCTAACATTCCCCCCCTTTTCTTTGGAGATTAGTCAATTCTTTGACTCTTCAGTCAGTTCTTGAAGGTGAAAACAGGCTTTCCTGAGGTGGTGTTAACCTTGAGTGTTGTTCCATCTGCAGTTTTTCTGATTTTCGATTGGGCTGTTTTAGGCCAATGAGGTGTCCTCTGCCTGCTGTTGAGTAGGAACAGGGTTAAAAGTGACTAAGTTATGAAACCCTTTTGAGTCTTAGTTTTATTCCACAGTTAGTGGGGTCCACCGGCAGTGGCTCGCATTTTGGGGGGGTGTTCTTGTTTTCGGCTCATTTGACGTGAAACAAGTGAATCCAGGCCCTCGTGCCTTCTACTTTTACTGCCGCGTGGGTGGTCAGGATGACAGTGAATGGTCCCTTTCAGCAAGGCTCCAAGTTTTCCATTTGGTGGTGACGTATCCAAACCAAGTCTCCGGGTTGATAAGGATGCGTTTTTTTTTCCATCTCCATCTCAGTGTAGGCAGCTTGGACCCATGCATGGGCTCTTTTTAAGACAGACTGTAGTGCCTGCAGTGACTGGAGTACCGACTGGTCAGTCATTTCTGTTAGGGCAACCTTTTGTAGCCATGGGCAGAGTGGAGGGGAGTCCCCTGAACATTATTTTAAACGGGGGTAAGCTTGTTTAAGTAGGGTGTACATCGTGCCCTAAGGAGGGCGATGAGCAGGAGATCCACCCATCCATCGCCAGTCTCCAGAATTAGCTTTGTAAGGTCTCTTTTAAGAGTCCGGCTCATTCTCTTTTCTTGTCCGGAGCTCTGGGGCTGGTAGGCACAGTTTAGTTTCCAATTAGTGGCCATGGCCTTGGCCATTGCCTATGAGACTGAACTCACAAATGCAGGGCCGTTGTCTGACCCAATCACAAGAGGCAACCCAAACCTAGGAATTATTTCCTCTAGTAGCTTTTTGGCTACCATTCCTGCTGTTTCATGTTTGGCAGAAAAAGTCTCTATCCAGCCTGAAAAGGTATCCACAAAAACTAACACATATTTGTGTTCATACTTTCCCTGTTTCATCTCTGTAAAATCTACTTCCCAATAAATTCCTGGTTCCCTTCCTCTTTCTCTTTTTCCACTTCCCATCCTAGTTCCTCCTGCATTTACCACCTGACATTGAGCACATCTATCAACCATGTCCTGAGCCATATGCCTTAATTTAGAAACCTGGAACTGTTTACCCACGAGCTCCTTAAGCTTGCGTGTCCCTAAATGAGTGCCCTGATGTATTTGGCTTACTAATTTTTTTTTTCCTAGTCTTCGAGGAAGAATTAACTCTTCTGCCCTAGTCTTAGCCCAATCCTCTTCATAGTCTAATTTAGTCAATTTTTGTAAATATTTTAAATCTTCCTCTGAATAATCTGTTTTTTCTGGTAGGGCTGGAGCCGGGAGTGTCACCAGTTCTTGAGCCATTTCCCTGGCTGCTTGCTTTGCTGTTCGACCTGCTAATTGGTTTCCTTTTGAAACCAAATTAGTCCCCTTTTGGTGTCCTGGGCAGTGCATAAGGGCCACCACTTTCGTGTCCCAAATAGCCTGGAGGAGAGCCAATATTTCTTTTCTGTTTTTATTTTCTTTTCCTTCTGCTGTTAATAGGCCCCTTTCTTTATAAATAGCCCCATGTATATGGAGAGTAGCAAAGGTGTACCTGCTGTCCGCATAGGTGTTGGCGGTCTTACCCTTGGCCATCTGCAGTGCCTTGGTGAGTGCATTCAGCTCCACTTTTTGCACTGAGGTTCCATGTGGCAGGGCCGCCTTCCAGAGCTCCTGTTCAGGAGAAACCACCGCAGTCCCTGCATACCTCTTTCCATCAGCCACGTAGCTACTCCCATCTGTGAACAGAGTCATCTCGACATCCAGGAGGGGAGTGTCTCTGAGGTCAGGCCTTATTCCTGTGATCTGGGTTAGGACCTCCCCGCAGTCATGTGGGTGCTCAGCTAGCTTTTCTGGCAGTAACGTGGATAGATTTAGCACTGCCGGGGGCCTGAAAATCACTTTCAGTTCATTGAGGAGGGCTTGATACCCTTTCACTCAGGCATTTGTCATCCACTGGTTTGGTGGGGTCCGGAGGAGGCCTTTGATAGCGTGAATAGTGGTCAAGATGAGATTTTGACCCAAAGTCAATTTACTTGCATCCTTGACCAGGAGGGCCGTGGCAGCAATTCTGCAGAGGCATGGGGAGAACCTGGCCACTACTGGATCTAGTTTTTTTGCTAAGAAAGGCTACTGGCCTTTGCCAAGGCCCCAGAGTCTCCGTCAAAACCCCTTTGGCCACCCCTGCCTTATCATCTACATACAAGTGGAAGGGCTTGGTAACATCTGGGATGGCCAGTGCTGGGGCACTCAGTAAGGCTGTTTGTAATTTTTGAAACGTTCCTTCTGCCTCAGCGGTCCAGTCTACCTTAGTGAGTCCTCCCTTAATCAGTTCGTAGGGGGTTCGGGCAATCTCTGTGAACCGCAGTATCCACAGTCTGCTGTAGCCCACTGTCCCAAGAAACTCCCTCACTTGTTGGGGTGTGGTGGGGTGGGGATAT